TTCCTCACTTGCCATCGCCAGTGATCTCCAGGCTGCCGATTCCGCAGTGTGTTCTGACTTGTACTCGAGGTGTTTCCGCCCATCTAATCAGCTTGCTTGGCAACCACTTCACATTGAATAGATGCATTCAGGTCTGCTCAGTGATCACACCCAAATTCCTTTCCTTCTCTGCTGATGGATAATATCCTTCCACTTGCCTGTTGTTGATCACCATCTTCGTTTCTCTCTGTCTCCTTTCTTCCTTCTCCAGGCACCACCGGCTCCCTGTTCCCCAGCAGATTGACTTTGCGATCCTTGTTCTAACTTTCGTATGTCTCCATGTCTTTGTCCCACCGCCTACAAATACACAGTCACTACACGTCACAGTAAATACTGTAAGCCAGGGACGTCTACTGGTCAATCATCGCTAGGTGACTTCTCGCACATGCTCTGATGATAATAATAATAATAATCCTTGCATTTGATCTTAGCACCTTATCACAGACGTTCAAAGCGCTTCACAGAATATACTGTAAAGTGAATCAACTAAATTTTGTGGGTAAAACACGGCAGCCAATTGCGCACAGCAGTGTCCCATAAACAGTCGTGGATTGAGTGAGCAAATTATTATTATTTTTATAGATATATATATATTTTTGGAGGGGTTATTACACCTGGAAAGTGATCCACTAATCAACTAACAACCAGGTTGCTACTTATTGCTCGGCAAACAGAGGCGTGTGTGTGGAGTAAGGAAACTTGTTTTAGCTTTGGCCCCGCCTGGGAATCCAGCCCAGGTCCTAACCAGTAGCTACAGGACTCCACAAGCGGAAGGAGCAATATCTCTCACAGTTTTAAGTTTATATTGTTATTTCCAGATGCATGGAATACTTTGTGCTTCTGGTTTTGTTCTCAGATGGACTCAATGACAATGCAGTTCTATCGCTCCTTCCTCTTGTAGTCTCTGAACATGTGCGAGAGCGCTGCCCCCGCTGCGATCGACTGGTTGGGGACCATTGCTGTAAGCTCTTTGAGAAGACCTCTCAAAGTGAAAGGCGCTGTATGTGCTAAATGCGAGGATTATTATTACTTCTGCTGCCCTTTCTCCCCCTCCTCCCACCTTCCTATCCTGGTGTCTAATTGACACTTGAATGTGCTGTGATATTGCTGTGCGCTAATCGTCTATAAAATGCGCAGTCACTACACTTAACGGTAAATCCCTTTGAGACAGTTTGACAACATGATAAGGCGCCGTGTGAGATAAATACAGATTTCCCTTCCTCCTATCTTCAGAAGTTCTATGACTTCTCGTGTTTCTCTTGAGCTGCTTATTTACCCACTATTTAATCCGCTCGCTTATTGGTGGGTCGCGTTGAACGTAAACCTGGCTCGGGCTTTCCTCACCCCCTCATCTCCTCTGCTCCACCATTTGTGTGTGTGTGGGTGTGGGCAAAAGCCAGCTTCCCCTAAAATAAGTGACTTCTGAGTCATCGAGTCCCTGCTGCCTTTTTTCTAAACGCACGAGAAGTGTCATCCTTGCTCATTCTTGTCACTTTTTCTGGTCAGCCAAGTGTCGGTTACGCATGTGGAAACCCGTTGTCCTACTTCAGTCTCCAAATCAGATAGTGTTACACGTACGTTGGCCACCCACACGCGGAAATGTCCCTGTTTTTAGAATGGAACTCGCACTCTCCCCACCGGAGGGACAGTATGAGACACGTTTGCGAAAGTAAAGGCTAATCAGCTAAAACCACGTAGGTTGCCCTTGAGAGTACTGTCTGGCGAAGTTTCCCACTGCTTCTCCACCGCATAAAGAGAGGGCAGATCTTGGGAGTGAGGGATTTAAAGTTAGATGATACCCAAGTAACACACAGTCTGTCTGATAAGATGATCTCTGGGTGATGGGAAAACAACTCAGCTCAGCTTCCCTGGGCTCCAGAGGATGGATTTCCGTCTCAGATTGCAATGCAATAAACTGACCTGGAAAGCCTGGTCGCTCGTGTGCGCGTTGTGCATGTGTGCGCGCGCACACGCACACGGTGTGAGATAATAATAATCCTTGCATTTGATATAGCGTCTTATCACATCTCAAAACGCTTCACAGAATATACTGTAAAGTGAATGGACTATATTTTGCGGGCAAAACGCAGCCACTAATTGCGCACAGCAGTGTCCCGCAAACAGTCGTGGATTAAGCGACTAAATTATTCTTTATTTAAGAGCATAAGAATTAGGAACAGGAGTAGGCCATTCGGCCCCTCGAGCCTGTGCCCCGCCATTCGATAAGATCATGGCTGATCTTCAGACCCAACTCTAATTACCCGCCCTCTCCCCATATCCCCTAATCTCTCTGTTTTTTAAAAATCTATCAGTCTCAGCCTTGAAGATGTTCAAGGACTTTTGGTTTTTTTAAGGATTATCCCCGAAAAGCGATCTGGTAATCAACTAACAACTGGGTTCCAACTCAATGGTAGGTAAACAGAGGCACGTGGAGTAAGGAAACTTTCCTAACGTTTCATCACGCCTGGGAATTGAACCCAGGTCCTCTCGTTTGTGAGACGAGCGCTCTAACCACTGAGCTACAGGACTCCACGGTGCTTTTGTGTGAGTATTAGCTGGTTAGACTTCAGCAGTTATCTTAATGCACACTCTAGGGTCCCCAGGCCTTGAGTTTTGCCAACCTCTGCCTAATACTTTCCAGGATTGGATAAGCACGATGCTTCCCTCCAGGGAGGGAGTGTGCATTCCATTCTCAATACACAGAAATTTTATGTGTATATGCAATCCTCAGTTTGGTGCGGATACCCTTAAGCATGGTGATGGGTTTCTGTGAGTGTCAGACACCCGGTTGATCTCCAAAAATCCAGCTTACAATAGTCAAAACCCATGCAAATTGAAGGATTGAATGAGTTTCAAATCTGCTCTGCCTGGGGAAATGTGAACCGCTGGCCAGCGAGCTGCTGCTACTGTGCATAATGGTTAGAGCACTCGCCTCGCAAGCGAGAGGACCTGGGTTTGAGGCAAAATCTTCAGCAAGTTTCCTTACTCCACACGCCTCTGTTTACCTGGTAATGAGTAGGACCCTGGTTGTTAGTCGATTGGCGGATCGCTTTCCAGGGCTAATAAAATGTGGTCACTCACTGTTTGTGGGACTCTGCTGTGCGTAATTGGCTGCCGTGCGTAATTGGCTGCCGTGTATTAACAACAACAACAAAATTACATTTATAGAGCGTCAGGAGGACCTCCCAAAGCGCTGGACAGTCAGGGGTCAGGACCCGAGCATGGGGGAGAGGTGGGGTAGGCCCCTTCTTAGGCTCCTTTCAAGTCCCACCTCAAGACCCTCCTCTTCGATCATGCCATTGGCCAACCCCCTTCCCCTCCCCTCGCTTCTCCACCGCTGACCCCAGCTTGGGTCTGAAATGCTGTACAGTCCAGCGCCTTGGGATGTCCTCCGGATGTGAAAGGCGCTATACAAATGTAATCTTGTGTGCAAATAGTATGTAGTGTGTGTATGTGTATGTAATGTGTATAGTGCATGTTCTGAGATGCTATTCTGCGTAGTGGGTGCGATATAAGTGCGAGTTGTTATACGTAGCGTATTTAGTGTTTGTGTGTCCATAGTATATAGTGTGTACGTAGTATGCATGTAGTGTCCGTGTGTTTGTGCTGTGTGTGTATAAATAGTATGTAATTTGTGTATGTAGTGTGTGTAGTAGTGTGCAAATAGTATGTTGTGTGCGTGTGTCTGCAGTGTGTGTGTCTGTAGTGTGTGTGTTTATAGTGTGTGTGTCTCGTCAGCCACTATGTCCTGAAACGCTGGAATCTCTGCTCAATCCCTAGACCTTGTTCCCTCCCTCTCAACCTTCAAATCCCGTCTGAAGATCTTCCTTTTTGATTGTGCATCAGGTCACCTCCCCCCGTGCCTCTCCCCCACACACACACACTCTTTCATACATTTTCTCAAACCCAGGCAGATTTAAGATCAATAAAAAGAAACAGCCTCAACAGTGTGAAAGGCCATTTTTTTATTTATGTAAAATATTTTTTTTTTAAATTTTCACCAGGAGAACCATCACTGCCAACCAACGGGACAGTCCGTGACAGGGTATTTCCACTTGGGATTACATTCCCGGGATTTTCCATTACCATATGGGATCCCGGGATTGCAACCCCTAAATAGCAATAACAATTTATCAGTGCCCTTCCCTGAGAACAGTGTCTCGGGCACTGCAATGGCAGAGTCGGAAGCCAAAGAATGGCTTTGGGAACCCGAATACAGAGGAAACTAAAGCACTTGTGTTCTGCACATTTATTAAAGTCGGGAGTTCAAGCTGAGACAGACATAGATCTTCACGTTCATACAATAGGCAATAGGCAGTGTTATGCTGAACTGTGTTTTGTAGGCAAACATGGCAGCCAGTTTGCACATGGCAATCTCCCACAAACAGCCATGAGACAGCCATGGAGTCCTGCAGTGTATTGGTCAGAGCATTCACCTCGCAGGCGAGAGGACACAGGTTCATTGCTTGGGTAGGGTGAAATATTGGGCATGTTTCCTTCCTGAACTTAGGGGTTCTCAGTGGTTTCATTGACTGCTGCAGTCGGGTTGGGAACAATGCCCAGGGCAGATCTGGGCAGGAGGGCTCTCACCCAGGCCAGGACAGGGCCGAAGTCCTGGGAAATGGAACACACTGTATCCCTGGACCACCATGACGCTGGCGAAGGCGCCCTGAAGGACAAGCACAGCCGGGAAGAATGGCCTGGAGTGTGGCTCCCACACCGGGGAAATCAGCCATTTTGCATTCTCATCCTGACAGGAAAAAACAATCATAAAAGATGTATGGTTGAACTTACAATTTGTTCAGCCTAGGACAGAGCATATCAGGTGCATTCCACATAAGAGTTATCTTTCATTTGACAATACAAAGTGATGAAATAAATGTGTTGTCTTCGGGGTTGAAATCTGTCAGATTTGGACTATTTCCTGTGTTTCATCAACTTTCGTTGAGCAGCAATTTCAGGAAGAAGAAAAACTGCAGAAATACCAGAACGTTTGAAATCATTTGAAAAGCAATGGGATGAGAAGACGAGAACATTGTATAACAACTGTCGAGCAAAGTACAGCTCAGCTGTACACCACTGAAGATACAACTTTGACTTCATAATCAACAAACCCAAACAAGAGGTTTCCGGTGTGAATCAAGAGACCTTCGTTGATGCTGCTGTTTGTTAATTTACCAACTGACTTTGATACAGACATGTGTCTGTGCTATTGACCTGTCTGTTGTATTTGTGATAATTGAATAAACAAGCTTTACATTTCTTATTAAGTAAAGAAATTTCAAAGCATGAGTTTCTGAGTGGCTTTGGCTCCTCGGTTCTCGGATCCTTTATTGAAAGTGAACTGAATGGAATAAGTCGGTTTTATTCTGTTCATTCAGCAGAACTCACATCATCATCACTGGGAACCCCCACATCCTCATCACTGGGAACCCCCACATCCTCATCACTGGGAACCCCCACATCCTCATCACTGGGAGCCCCCACATCCTCATCACTGGGAACCCCCACATCCTCATCACTGGGAACCCCCACATCCTCATCACTGGGAACCCCCACATCCTCATCACTAGGAGTCCTAACATCCTCATCACTGGGAGCCCTCACATCCTCATCACTGGGAACCCCCACATCCTCATCACTGGGAGCCCTCACATCCTCATCACTGGGAACCCCCACATCCTCATCACTGAGAACCCCCACATCCTCATCACTGGGAGCCCTCACATCCTCATCACTAGGAGTCCTAACATCCTCATCACTGGGAGCCCTCACATCCTCATCACTAGGAGTCCTAACATCCTCATCACTGGGAAACCTCACATCCTCATCGCTGAGAACCCCCACATCCTCATCACTGAGAACCCCCACATCCTCATCACTAGGAGTCCTAACATCCTCATCGCTGGGAGCCCTCACATCCTCATCACTGGGAACCCCCACATCCTCATCACTGGAAACCCCCACATCCTCATCACTAGGAGTCCTAACATCCTCATCACTGGGAACCCCCACATCCTCATCACTAGGAGCCCTCACATCCTCATCACTGAGAACCCCCACATCCTCATCACTGAGAACCCCCACATCCTCATCACTGTGAGCCCTCACATCCTCATCACTAGGAGACCTAACATTCTCATCACTGGGAAACCTCACATCCTCATCACTAGGAGTCCTAACATCCTCATCGCTGGGAGCCCTCACATCCTCATCACTGAGAATCCCCACATCCTCATCACTGAGAACCCCCACATCCTCATCACTAGGAGTCCTAACATCCTCATCGCTGGGAGCCCTCACATCCTCATCACTGAGAACCCCCACATCCTCATCACTGGAAACCCCCACATCCTCATCACTAGGAGTCCTAACATCCTCATTACTGGGAGCCCTCACATCCTCATCACTGGGAACCCCCACATCCTCATCACTGGAAACCCCCACATCCTCATTACTAGGAGTCCTAACATCCTCATCACTGGGAACCCCCACATCCTCATCACTGAGAACCCCCACATCCTCATCACTAGAAGTCCTAACATCCTCATCACTGGGAGGCCTCAGATCCTTATTATTGGGAGCCCTCACACCCTCATCACAGGGAGCCCTTACATCCTGATCACTGGGAGGCCTCAGATCCTCATCACTGAGAGGTCTCACATCCTTATCACTGCGAGCTCCCGCATCCTTATCACTAGGAGCCCTCACATCCTCATCATTGGGAGCAATCACATCCTCATCATTGGGAGCCCTCACATCCTCATCACCAGCAGCCCTCACATCCTCATCACTGGGAGCACTCACATCACCATCACCAGCAGCCCTCACATCCTCATCACTGGGAGCCCTCACATCCTTATCACCGGGAGCCCTCACATCCTCATCACTGGGAGCCCTCACATCCTCATCACCAGCAGCCCTCACATCCTCATCACTGGGAGCCCTCACATCCTTATCACCGGGAGCCCTCACATCCTCATCACTGGGAGCCCTCACATCCTCATCATTGGAGCCCTCACATCCTCATCATTGGAGCCCTCACATCCTCATCATTGGGAGCCCTCACATCCTCATCATTGGGAGCCCTCGCATCCTCATCACTGTGAGCCCTCACATCCTCATCACTGGGAGCCCTCACATCCTCATCACTGGGAGCCCTCACATCCTCATCATTGGGAGCCCTCACATCCTCATCATTGGGAGCCCTCACATCCTCATCATTGGGAGCGCTCACATCCTTATCACCGGGAGCCCTCACATCATCATCACCAGCAGCTCTCGCATCCTCATCACTGTGAGCCCTCACATCCTCATCACTGGGAGCCCTCACATCCTCATCACTGGGAGCCCTCACATCCTCATCACTGGGAGCCCTCACATCCTCATCATTGGGAGCCCTCACATCCTCATCATTGGGAGCGCTCACATCCTTATCACTGGGAGCCCTCACATCCTCATCGCTGAGAGCCCTCACATCATCATCATCACCAGCAGCCCTCACATCCTCATCACTGGGAGCCCTCACATCCTTATCACTGGGAGCCCTCACATCCTCATCACTGGGAGCCCTCACATCCTCATCATTGGGAGCCCTCACATCCTCATCATTGGGAGCCCTCACATCCTCATCATTGGGAGCCCTCACATCCTCATCATTGGGAGCCCTCACATCCTCATCACTGGGAACTCTCACATCCTCATCACTGGGAACTCTCACATCCTCATCACTGGGAACTCTCACACTGGAGTCCTGTAGCTCAGTGGTTAGAGCACTCGCTTTGCAAGCGAGAGACCTGAGTTCAATTCCAGGCAGGGCGAAACCTTGGGCAAGTTTCCTTACTCCACACAGAGCCTAATAATAATCCCTCCAAAACAAAACAATAATAAATTGGTCATTTTCAATCTACGACTGTTTGTGGACATTGCTGTGCGCAATTGGCTGCCGCGTTCGCCCACAAATATACAGTCAATTCACTTTACAGTGTGTTCTGTGAAGCGCTTTGGGACGTCCTCCCGACGTGAAAAGCGCTATATCAAATGCAAGGATTATTATTATTATTATTATCTTCATCACTGGGAGCCCTCACATCCTCATCACTGCGAGCCCTCACATCCTCATCACTGGGAACCCCCACATCCTCATCACTGGGAGCCCTCACATCCTCATCATTGGGAGCGCTCACATCCTTATCACCGGGAGCCCTCACATCCTCATCACTGGGAACTCTCACATCCTCATCACTGGGAACTCTCACATCTTCATCACTGGGAGCCCTCACATCCTCATCGCTGAGAGCCCTCACATCCTCATCACTGGGAGCCCTCACATTCTCATCACTGGGAGCCCTCACATTCTCATCACTGGGAGCCCTCAGCACGGAAAGAACATGATCAATAAGAGCCTTCAGCTTGGCCACAGTCTCATCACTGAGAGCTATCATCAAATCCTCTGCCACATCCTCCTTACTGACAGCCTTATCACTATCTTCCCTGTCAGCGATCACATCCTTAGTACTGTCTTCACTGTCAGTCATTACATCCTTATCACTGTCTTCCCTGTCAGTCATTACATCCTTATCACTGTCATCACCGTCAGCCTCATTAATGTGGGCCGTCCCTCTCTTTGCTCCTCCCCCACAATGGGGCATCCTGCACCCCTGCTTAACAGCCCCTATTGCAGCCCCAACAGCCCCTATCACAGCCCCACCAGTCAGGAGCGCCGCAACCCAACCAGCAGAGGTCATCCCTGTCACAGCCTCTATCGCAGCCCCTACCCAAGCCCAAGAAACCGAAGAGTCCAGCCAGAACATGGCATCCCACCCAGCACACGCTCGAACAGAGATGGCATCCCACATGCACTGCCACATGTAGGTCCAGGAGTTCTTCAACAGGGATTTCTGGGCTTGTTTAGAATGGGATTTCTGGGCTCGGGCTGATAAGATCTGGGCCACTTTATTTATGACCTGCTCGTTCCTTATCCTCTGCTTCACCTCCTCCTCTTTATTATCTTCCTTCTCTTTGCCTTTCTCCCTCCATTGGCATCTGTCTGGGAAGATGGTCAGGTTTCTCCCCCAGCCCATCGGCTGCTCCCCCAAGATGGTCTGTAGCAGTTCCACCGTCAGTGGCGCGACCCATTGATCTCCGATGTCAATGAGATTCTCTAAAGGCAAACGGATGTTGCTCTGGATTAAGGCGAAGGAGAAGTCATATCCTAAGCCATTCACCTGGTCCCATTCGGCAGAGCAGCAGACAGCCGTCCAGACCACAGTGGGGACGGACACTCTACCATTCTGGGTGAATTTCTTGGACGGGAGGGTGCCGGTGACCAGGTAAAGCTGGCCATTGATGCAGATGTGACTGATGTGGTTCCTGATAACATGTTCCGAGTACCAATACCAGTTGATGTTTTGGGTTTTGTTCATGGGGACAGCGTTGGTGAGGGTGAAGGTGGCCTCAGGGTTCCTGGGGTTCAGACACACTGGGTTCAGGTGACCCCGATTGTAACCTGTGTAATCACTATCCAGAGCCTGGTTCTCCCCGGCCCCCCTGACGGTTGTTGGCTTTGCCATCTCGTCATCACCGTCCGGCTGGTCCAGCTGAAACCACAGACACATTGATTGGGCCTTACCCCACTTTCCAATACTAATTCACATTCACATTTACACAGCGTCTTTCACATCAGGAGGACAGCTCAAGGCGCTGGACAGTGCTGTCTGCACCCAAACTGCAGTTAGAATCAAGAGGGGTGGAGGGCAAGGGAGGTGGGTGGGGGTGGCATGATGACCGAAGGCAAAGTCGAGGAGAAAGTTCTTGAGATGGGCCTTGAAGGAGACATGGGAGGGGGGAGAGGTGGAGGGGCTACTGGACGGAGTTCCAGAGGAAGGGAGCAGAAAGGCTGAAGGCTCGACCATCAATAATGAGGCAGGCAGTGCGGGGGAAGGTGGAGCAGGCCAATGATTCAGACAGAGGTTGGTAGGGTTTTAAATGGTCACGGAGACAGGGTGGGCTGAGAGCGTGGAGCCACTTGCTATAATAATAATAACAATAATACCATCTATTGCCCTCCCCAAGCCCTCTCCATCTTCATCCCCGACATCTCCACCCTCCTATCTTCCCTCTCCCTCTGCTCCGAACGCCTCTTCATCCTTGGCAACTTCAACCTTCACTTCATCCCCTCCTGTACTACCTCTGTTGACATTTCCACCCTTATCTACTCCCTCAATCTCTCCCTCCATATCCACTCCACCACCTATGTCTCAATCTGGTAATCACTTGGGGCTTCACCATCTTGTACCTCACCATCATCGACAAAGTGATCTCAGCCCTGTTCCAAGTGACAAATGACATTATGTCCATCTCTGACCAGTGTGTCTCCCTGCCTTCTCGTCCTCCTTGACCACTCTGCTGACTTCGACAGCATTGACTACTCTATCCTTATCCACGGCCTCTCTTCTCACCTCAAACTTCACGGGTCTGTCCTTGACTGGATCAGTTTGTACCTCTCACACCGTTTCTACTTCATCTCCACAAATGGTTTCTCCTCTAGCCCTCACACCGTCTCGTGCAGCATTCCTCAGGGCTCTGTTCTTGGTCCCCTCCTCTTCAATATCTATATGCTTCCTCTTAGTGACATCATCTGCAGACATGGGGTCAACTTCCACATGTATGGGGATGACACCCAAGTCTATCTCTCTGCCTCCACCCTTGATTCCAGGACCCTCTGCCGTCTGTAAGACATCAAGTCCTGGATGAGAGCTAATTTTCTTCAATTGAACATCAACAAGACCGAGGCCCTCCTAATTGGCTCCCGTCAGCCCCTCCTCACCTCAGGCGCTGACAGCATCACTACCCATGGTTGCACACTCCACCTTGCTAAGCCAGTCCAGAACCTTGGCTTCTTGTTCAACCCTTAACTATACTTTTTACCCCACATCTGCGCCATGGCATGCCTTCCCCCACCTCCGCAACATCACCTGGCTCCGGCACTGTCTCACACCGCAGGCCGCCAAAACCCTCATATATGCTTTCATTACATGACGCTTGACTATCCAAACTCCTTGCTTGTCAGCCTCCCCAACTCCTCCCTCCATAGGGTGCAGATCATCCAGAACCCTCTCCGCAAACCTATCATCCACATCCTTGCACAACTCCACTGGCCTCCCATTACACAGAGGATACAGTTCAAGATCCTTGTCTTCACCATCAAAACCCTCCATGATCTTGCTCCCCCCCTACCTCCGTGACATCCTAAACCCTACCATCCTGCTCACTCTCTCTCCAGCCTGCTTCACGTCCCCGCCTCGTTCACCCCACTATTGGTGGGCGGGTTTTCTGCCCCTAGAAAGAACTCTGGAACTCCATCCCACAATCCTCTGTCTCACCCACTCCCTCGCCACCTTCAAGACCAATCTCAAGACCCTCCTGTTCGACTGTGCTTCTCCCAGCCCTCCACCCGCTCTGACCACGACCCCCAGTTCTGAAACTCTGTCTGTCCAGCACCCTGGGACGTCCTCCCAAAGTGAAAGGCGTTAAACAAGTGTAATTTTGATAACTTTTACATCAGGAGCACATCGCAAAGAACACAGCAGCCAATTTGCAACATCCTGAAACAGCTGTGGAGTGAGTGACCAGGTTTATTTTATTTTAATTATTTGGGGGATTGTTGGCAAATAAAATAGAGAACCTGTTTTCCAAAAGTGTCCTAGGATTCTTAATGTCCATCTGAACAGGCAGACGGGACCTGGGGGGTTTAAAGTTTCATTTGAAGTACGGCAACTCTTACAATGCTCCACCAGCATTGCACTGAATAAGTCAAGGTCCCAAGTGAGGGTTGAACCCACAAGCTTCTGACTCAGTGCTGCTCGCTGAGCCAGGCTGACACTTACTGAGACAATGATTGATTGACAGTTGGAGCCGCTTGTGGATGAGTGGAGCCCAAACTTTGACAAGTGGCTCCAAGGCTGTCAATCACCTCGGAGTGCCAGGGTAGAGGGTGACCAAAGGCACGATTGAAGAGGAGGGTCTTGAGACGGGTCTTGAAAAAGGCAAGGGAGGGTGCGAGGTGGAGGGAATGCAGGATGGAGTTCGAGAGGGTGGGGGCAGAGAGGCTGGAGGGCCACCCACAAATGGTGGGGCGGCTGAGGCGAGGGACGTGAAGCAGGCTGGAGCCCACTGAGCGGAAGGAACAGTGAGGATGGTAGGGGGTTAGGAGGTTGCAGAGGTAGGAGGGAGCAAGACCATAAAGGGCTTTGATGGTGAGGACTGCTGATGGCAGCCAATTAGGACGGCCTCAGTCTTGTTGACGTTCAACTGAAGAAAGTTAGCTCTCAACAAGGACTTGATGTCTTACAGACATTCTGTCAGGACAGCAGTGGTCCTAGAGTCGAAGATGGAGTCAGAGAGATAGAGTTGGGTGTCATCCACATACATGTGGAAGTTACAATAATAATATAATAATCCTTGAATTTGATACAGCGCTTTTCATGTCTTCTCGATATCTCAAAGTGTTTCACAGAATAGACTGTAAAGTGAATTTTGACTGTATATTTGTGGGCGAAACGCGGCAGCCAATTGTGTACAGCAGTTTCCCACAAACAGTCGTGGATTGAAATGACCAATTTTTTATTGTTTTGTTTTGGAGGAATTATTATCAGGCGTGTGGAGTAAGGAAACTTGCCCAAAGTTTCACCCTGCCGGGAATTTAACTCAGGTCTCTCACTTGGAAGGCAAGTGCTCTAACCACTGAGCTACAGGACTCCACAAGTTGACCCCGTGTGTGAATGATGTTACCAAGAGTGAGCATATAGATATTGAAGAGGAGGGGACAGAGCCCTGAAGAACACCACACAAGATGGTGTGGGGGCTAGAGGAGAAACCGTTTGTGGAGATGAAATGACAGAACCGTGAAGATTGAAGTGAGAGGAGAGGCTATGGATCAGGATAGAGTGGTCAACTATCGAAAGCAGCAGAGAGGTCAAGGAGGACAAGGAGGCAGAGGGAGCCCTGGTCGCAGATGGACAGAATATCATTTGTCACTTTGACCAAAGCTGTTTCTGTGCTGTGGACGGCATGGAAACCCGAATGGAGGGATTCGCGAAGGGAGTGGCGGGAGAGAGAGAAGCAGTGAAGCTGGGAAGCAACAACTCGTTCCAGGATCTTGGAAAGGAAAGGGAGGTTGGAGATGGGGCTTTGAGAGCAGGGATGGGTCCAGGGAGGGTTTTTCAAGGATAGGAGTGATGACGGCTGTTTTTAAAGCGGAGGGAACAGTACCAGTGGACAAGGAGAAGTTTTTTGATGTCTGTGAGTAGAGGGGCAAGGAGATAGAGCTGGGAGGTAAGGAGTGGGGTAGGGGTGGCATCGAGGGAGCAGGTGGTCGGTTAGGATCATTCTTAAATGGAGTTGTTTTTAAGGTCACAGTAGATGGAAGGAAGTGATATAAACCTCAGGTCACAGGACAGGATGAGCAGCGCTAACGTTGAGCACCTCTGTGTAGAAACAACCTTTTATATGGTACATGTCTCACACAGTTAAATTACCGTTATAAAAAGAATTGCGTATTCAGGGCAGAGGTTTGGAGAAGAGCAACTGATTTGAGTCACAACCCCCGCTATCCAGGAGCTGAGATCGGGTAATATGATCTCAATTCTGTCTATTGCTTAAAATGTATTGTAATATTACAATGCAGCTGATTGGGTCCATTTTAATAAAAGATTTTTGCTTTACCAAATTGAATACCGTCTCAAGAGAATCCTTGACAGTGGGAGACAGGTTCGAAGATGTGTAAGGAGGGATGGGTAGGGGCTGGGGTGCGAGGGGGGAGATGGGGAGGCGGTAATGGTCGGAAGGGCAGAGGCAGCTGAGTGGATCCCCTTGACTTTGGTTGCAAGGAAGTCCAGCATCTCCTCGCAGATAGCACTGGAGGAGAGGAGACATATACAGACCAGATAGATAGATACATAGACACACACAGATACAGAGACACATACAAATACAGAGAGACAGAGACAGATACATAGACACACACAGATACAGAGAGACACCAATAGATACAGAGACACACACAGATACAGGGAGAGACCTACTGACTAAGAGACAGATACAGGGACACACACAGATACAGGGAGAGACCTACTGACTAAGAGACAGATACAGGGAGAGACACACAGATACAGAGAGAGACACACACAGACAGAAGACGGCTGCAGAGAGAGACAGACAGACAGACAGAGAATAATAATCCTTGCATCTGATGCAGCGCTTTTTCACATCTTTGAAATGTCTCAAAGCGCTTCACAGAATATACTGTAAAGTGAATTGACTGTATATTTGTGGACGAAACAAAATAAACAGAGAGACAGAGACACACATAGATACAAACATAGACAGACAGAAAAACAGACCCAGAGAGAGACACATACAGAGGCAGATACAGAGACAGAACCACAGAGACAGATACAGAGACACACACAGATACAAAGATAGACACACAGACAGAAACCTTGCCCCGGGCTGTATTATGATTTTTAACTCGATGAATCTTTACATTGTCTCTGTAAAGTTTGCATTGTAACTAAAACGTAGTGAAATGAAGTGTATACGGTTACACAATTTACAACATTGGATTTCTATGATTCATATGGTTCATGTTTCAAGAAGAGAAACACAAAAATATTGACAGACGTTTTACAAATAGGGAATCCCAGCCCTCAGCAGCCAAAAGGCTGGATCACCCTGGCCTACAACAAACACAGTCACTACACTGGACAATATATTCTGTGAAGCGCTTTGAGATGCTTCTCCAATGTAAGGCGCAGCATCACATGCAAGGATTATTATTAGGACAATGCTAATTACCTGCACGTCAGCCTTCCCAACTCTTCCCCCCACAAGCTACAGATCATCCAGAACTCTGCAGCTCGTGTCCTCTCCTGTATCAGGCTCCGTGTCCCCATCAACCAAACCCTCGCCCGGCTCCACTGGCTTCCCATCCCTCAGAGGATAGATTTCAAAATCCTCATCCTCACTTCAAAGTCCTCCATGACCTTGTTCCTTCCTACGTCCGTGACCTGCTAAATCTATATAGACCTGTCCGCTCCCTCCACTCAGTGGGCTCAACATCCCCCACCCGACCAGCCCCAACATCAGTGGTCGGGCCTTCTGCCTTTCTGTTCCCACCTTCTGGAACTCCATCACATAGCCCCTTCACCTTCCTTCCTCCCTTGCCTGCTTCAATACTGTCCTCTTTAACCACCCCTTCAGTCACCCTCCTACCCCTCCTTTATTATTGTTATTACCTGTGGTTCGATGAGCCAGGGACAGTTTGGGCACCTGCCTCTGGTTGTGGAGTTAGTGTAGTTGTAGGCCGCGTACACAGGGATCCGATACTCTGGGGAGTACAGGGTGGCAAAGTGGTAGACATTATCCTTCTTCTGGCAGATCCTGATCACTCGTGTGCGGGAGTCAAAGCCCTCGGGCTCGGAGCCGTGGTGAAAGGAGCCCTTACACTCTTCGAACGAGCTGACAACCTTGGCCTCCGGTGACCATCGCAGAGCTAAGAGGGAGATCAGAGCCACCGAGCAACAGCAACCAGTGAACATTGCCATCTCTTTCTGTCCACAGTGAGCATCTCTCTTCTGGTTCCAGAACTTTCACTATCAGTTTCAATTCTCTGTAAACCATCTTTCAGTTTTCTGTAAATTCACTGCATAATAAGGCCTCCCCACCCCTTCCCCGACCTGAGATATTTTGATGTACTGATAAGCAGAAAGGAAGTGAACCCTCCTCTTCTGCTTCTCACCAGCCCACAAGTAAGTTCGATAAAACCCTGAAACGTGAAAGACGGTATACAAATGTAATCTTGTCGTTATTGTTGCTGCTCGGTGAACAGTTGTGTGGAGTAAGGAGAAATGCCTATCTTTTCCCCCGCCCAGGAAACGAACCCAGATGCTCTCGTTTGCGAGACGACTCCTCCAACCAATACACTAAAGGACTCCACATTTCTGCAAAACAGGTCTTTGGCCTAAGTTAGTGTAACCTCCTGAGGATCAGCCGATCTTCAGGAACCAATACCTGTTTTTACTATTAGCAAATATCCATTTTCTTAATTTTCGTGCTGATGTTTTCATGCCCCGGGCGGCTCGTTGTGAGAGTTTCCTTACTCCACACGTCTCTGTTTGCCCAGCAGTAAGTGGGCACCTGGTTGTTAGTCAGTTGGTGGATCACTTTTCTGGGGGTAATATAAACCCTTAAAAAAAATTGGTCACTTCGATCCACGTCTGTTTGTGGGGACACTGCTGTGCGCAATTGGCTGCCGGGTTTCACCCACAAAATACAGTCAATTCACTTTACAGTATGTTCCGTGAAGCTCTTTGAGACATCTTGAATATATATATGTATAGATATAGAATATATAGATATAGAAGACAAGTCTAGAAGACATGAAAGACGATATATGAAATGCAAATATTATTATTATTATTACACTGGCGGCCAATATTATGTCCTGTAATGATTGGAAGCATCAGCAGTTATTGTCTGATCCCATTTGGTGGCTAACCATCTTAGGGGGGTTCCTGATCTCCGTCCTCTTCCTGCTGATTAGCTCTGTGTTTGGAAAGGGAAGGAGAAAGAGCTTTGAGGCAGAAGTCAGTGAGAGAGCTTGGACATGCCCTGACTGAGAGAGATACGGGTTCAATTACACCGAGATACCATCAGCTCAAGTACGTTATGGAAAAAGACAGGATTACAAACCTGAAGATAAAAAGGTGCTGGTTTGGAACTAAAAGACGTGGTAGGACAGAAATTAAAGCAGGATTTGGAGAGTTGTGAGCTGAACTGAAAGATTTTCAAAGGCCAGAAAGCTGTGGCATATGGTGTCCTTCTGATGGACAGTATACATGGAGGAGACGCCTATTAGTGTTGCAATAGGAGGTCATCGTAAACTATATTATTGGTCCCTGGTGCCTATTGAACTGTTATATATGAAAAAGACCCACAAAATTTGCAGTTTGCATCAGAAAGTTACTCAATTATGTGGGTTTACAGGCAATTGTCAATATGGGGTATAATCAATTCTAATTCCATTTCAATGGGACATTTAGAAATAAAATGGCCATGTATTTTGATGAACAGGCCAAACAATTTAAACATTATTGTTTATACAGATTGATACAGATCACGGACCTGTTTATACAATAAAGAAAACTGAGGGTATGATTTAAAGAAAGTGTTAACGCTGACAATAATGTTAACATCGCTCGTGTACTAACCACTAGTAACGTTGCTTTCACAAATCACAAACACCTTTGTGGAAAGTTAGCATCAGACCCCAACACAATTAGTTTTAGATGGTGGACTAAAAGATGGGATTAGTAGAAAATCCGTCTGGTGATCTAAAGGGTTGTGATGAAGTGTCCAACTTATCTGAAGGGTCCGTTCTCGGGAGCTGAAATTCCACAATCCGCTCCTGTCTATGTGGATGGTTCCAGTTCAGTAGTTGGGGGTAAAGCCAAACAGGAACCTCAGGAGTAAAAACCTGTGGATTTGAAGTTTGCCCGAGACACTGATGTGGGAGATTCCCACAATGTTTTGGAACGACGTTGTGCAGTGGGAGTGCAGTGTCCACACACTACAGCTGTGCAGCTGCTGCGCTGGAGCCACTGCAGCAGGTAACCGCTCACCTGACTGTGCAACAACAACAACAACAACAAGATTCCATTTATAGAGCGCCTTTCACGTCAGGAGGACGTCCCAAGGCGCTGCACAGTTGGGTCATGACCCGAGCAGGGGGGAAATGGTCAGGGTGAGGGAGGGAAGGGAGGGAGCGAGGAGGGGGAAATGGTCAGGGGAGGGGAGGGAGGGAGGGAGCGAGGGGGGGAAATGGTCAGGGTGAGGGGAGGGAAGGGAGGGAGAGAGGAGGGGGAAATGGTCAGGGTGAGGGGAGGGAAGGGAGGGAGAGAGGAGGGGGGAAATGGTCAGGGTGAGGGAGGGAAGGGAGGGAGCGAGGAGGAGGAAGAGAGTCGAGAGGGGAGCTGAAGGCTCGGTCAAAGAGAAAGGTTTTGAGACCGGCCTTGAAGGAGGAAAGGGAGGAAGCGGCGAAGGCACTGGGGGATGGAGTTCCAGAGCCTCGGGGCTGAGAGGCTGAAGGCCCGACCACCGATGGTAGGGCGGTTGGGGCGGGGGACGTGGAGCAGACCGGAGCCAGAGGAGCGGAGGGTACGGGCAGGTAGGTAGGGGGATAGTAGGTTGGAGAGGTAGGAGGGAGCAAGGCCGTGAATGGCCTTGTAGGTGAGGATGAGGATCTTGAAATCAAATGTGCAGAGGACATGGAACATTGTTGTTGTGGAAAATAGCACAAACTATGACTACAAACTGAAGCTATTGGCACAAACTAACCCGGACTTCGATTAAAAAATGCTGAAATAACTGAAGAGTCGGTCCAGAGACCATTGAGATCTGTTCAGTCATTGGAAGATGTAAGTACAGAGGTTGCAACGACGTTAACAGAAATAGCCATTGCTGGTTAAACGTGATCAGAGAAAACTGGTACTTACATGAACAACCCTCTGGAGGGATTTATTAAAAAAGGGTATAAAAGAATGTTGCAGTTACAAAATGACCGATAAGGTTTTGTGTTTTCTGTTTTTATGTCTCAGTTTTGTTCCATGTATTTTGTCTTTAAATATAAGATAACGACCAGGGAAAGAAAGGAAGGCTGTGCAGCAGAGACTGTGACGAGCTGAAAGGCAGAGAGAGAGAGAGAGAGAGAGAGAACAGGTGAATTGAAAAAAGACACGAATAAGAGAAAGAGATTCAGTGTGAAACTAATAACTGAAAAGACAGACGTTTAAAAAAAAATGATTTAAAAGTCCTTTGGAAAAATTAGCTTTGTGCTGAAAAGCTTTTATTAACAGCGACTGTCGTGAAACCCTCCGCGTTCCCCACCGTCTCCCCTCTCTCTCCTCCCTGTACCTCGGACTTAAACCTCAGAGACGTCGCTGTAGCTGTAGTTTTATTTTTGGCGGGTTATGAGCCTGAGCCGCTTGACACACTTGATTTTAAGGCTCTTTTGGTTTTTTTTGGGGGGGAATTTTAATACAATTGTTTACAACAGATGATTGAAAGTCCAAGAAAAACAGACGATCGAAGACCAAACGTACATGGATGAAGAATTTTAAAAAATAGTAACTAGATTAAAAGTAAAATCAGGTTTTTTGGGGGGAAAATTAGTAGAATACCAACAGCAGTCAGAGGCATTTACATTTTTTTTTATAGCTTCTGACCGGGAGTCAGTTTTTATTCAAAAGTAGTGTAAAAAAAACACGTAAACTTAACTGCCTCTAAAACTGGTTGAGCAAAATTAAAATATTAATTGCAAATTTGCTCACATGGTTGAATGAAACCATGTGAGCAAAGGCCAATTTATGGTGTGAGCCAAGGCCACCGCATGCCGATGTTTACAAAAAACATTATTTTGGCTACAGAAAGTATTTTGACAAACATTTCGATTGAACAAAAAAAAAGAGAAAATGTGATGGCAATCGGCCAGTCACAGAAAAGACAAATTTAAACAAAATTTAATTGATCAAAAACAAATTGATCTCTAAATTCAGAATGACCGGCATGAGGAGTGTCCCAAGCTCTCTGTGGAGTACGTTAAGACCCTTCGAATGAATATTTAGGGAAAGATCAACAGTCACAGCGTGAGTTTGAGGCCATTCTGCATATTATTGGCTGACTCAGGGGTCTCCCCGACTATTCTTTGAAAAGAGCAATTCAAAGAGTCACAATACTCCTAATTAAAAGTTTTTCCCCACAGGAAGTTGTAATTGAATGGTCCATCAGAATACCCGAGCACAAGGCGTTACCCTTTTTAAACTGTAAAAGACATTATTATAGGATTTAGCGTGAGCTAGTAGCAATTAACATTTGCAAAAGCAAGTAAACAAAGTCTTAATATGTTCATGTCATTTAAGTGTTTTTTAAAAAAAGGATCGTGGTGGGTCTGACTTGGGTCTGGCCACGGAGTATAAACCAGATCCTACCCATATACTGAATAATATCAAGCCAAAAGATCCACAAAGTTTTAATTATTGTAAATAGTGGTGGCAATTATCTTAATATTACTTGATTTATTCTGATTTATGTATCATTTATTTTGTGTATTCCAGTATTTAGTCAAAACGATCTTTATAAATTAAATACGGATATATTTATTGGGAATTGTAATATTTTAATTTTTGTGGTAATACAATTGAAGTAAATCCTGGCTAATTTATTTTTATTTATATAATTATTAATGTTTTACTGTCATTTTTGGATTATGCAGCATTTCTAATGTAAAATGTTTTTGTACGAACAAATGAGATGGAGGAGAATGGTTCTCATTTGACATTAATTGACATTAATTACAGTAATAAAAGTGGGTTTGCCTTTATAACCTTAACCCACTTCAGGGCGGACTGTATGATTCTGTAATTAGTGATAAATGATCTCAAATTATATTAGCGATATTAATATATTTGAGACATATGATCAATCTCATATGATGGCAGTTGGTTGGGACTAGTTTTGCAGAAGAAACAAGACTGTTTATAAACAACGAACTGTTTTCAGTCCCTATCAATCATTTTCTCAAGGAAAAATGGTCTGCAGTTAGTGAGAGCTGTGTTGTATTTGTTTTTACAAAGGAAAAGACAATAGGTGAAGGTCACCAAATGAGCTGTATAAACGGAGATCGATTCGGAAGAGAATCAGAAGAAAGATTTCTAGCAGAGGGATTGAATTGGACGAGCCATATTAGAATTGGATATGCCACGATACCTGGATACTTTCGAGTGATTGAATTGAACAATAATACCTAGATACTTTTCAGTGATTGAACTGAGAAATGTACAACAATACTGCTGGATCGACATAT